TTTCTTTCCAGCATATTGTTACTTTTCAAATTAAGCAAACAAACAAACAAAAATCAACAAGACACAAAATATTCAAGTATATGTATTTATATCTCACTTCTAAAATAGTACTGTGGCATACAAAGTTTGAACAGAAAGAAAGCATCCTATGTATGCTGTGGGGGGAATTAAAAAAAAATCTACGAAATATTTTACGTCAGTGATTAAAGGTTTTAGAATTTGATAGAAGTCTTAAGTTTTAGGAAAGCTATAATTATTCTACTTTAGGTAGAGGATAACTTGCTACAGAATAAAAAACAGCTGACTAGTACTAAGATTTAAGCATTTGAAGAACGGTTACTGTCAAAATGGGGGGGTGATGACGGGATGTTTTTGCTTTTCTGTGAAAACATCAACATTCCTCACATTATAGAAACTTAACTAAATGAATGAACTATTTAATCCATAAAGCTAGTACAAACCTACTTTCACTAAAGTTGACTTAAAAGAGATAAAATAAACTTGTCTTTTAATAGTCAAGAGCATATAATTATGCATGAATTATTTTTTCTACTCTGATTAAAAAAACTGCTATATGATTTTTTCACAATGTCAACAACAGCATAGGAATAAATTAATGAACACTATTCTAGCTGCAAATAACTGATTTCTTTCTTTCAACTTCTATAATATTTTTTACATTTTTGGCTAAATTAAAAAAATGATATTTTGAAGACTATGCATAACACCTTAGCCTGTGCTTAAAGCTAGCGATTCAAAGACTTAAGTCATTTAACATACAATATTTCTTGAGCTGTTTACTAATGCCAAGCACTGGAGATAGTGAAGTTTAAGACCAAAAGGAAAAAAGGACATGAGCTGCCCTTGAGAAGATGTTTAATGATCTTCCAGGGTAGAAAATAATGCAAATGAAAATAAGCATTGCAACTTGAATGGTTATTTTACTCTTCCTTCAAAAATCTAATCCACACTTTGCATTATTTTAATTTTATTTATAAATTCTTTGAATTAATTACATCAGTTCATACAATAAAGGAATAAAATAATGACAAAAATGAACATTTACTGATTATTTACCCTGTACCAGGTATGATACTAAATGTTTTGTAAGTATTTTCAAGAATTGGAATTGTATACAGTATATGCTGCCTACTTGTCAAAATGCTGAGATTTAGCTCATCAACTTATATGACAAGATGTGGCACAATGTTCCTTTACCAGAAAAAGAGTGTCTCTGACATTACATTGATAACACCCACAAACCCTCCAGAAAGTATTAGTGAATGTAAGTTTCTATTGTATTTTAATTAACCTTGTGCTATCAGACAAAACTACTTTAGTTGTTCAAACAAAATGTATATTAAATAATGCCAACAAAGCACTTGCTATGAGTGCTTCCTGGAGGATCATCAACTTCAACGAAGTTTGTTTTATAGACTACTAGATATAGTCAGTAAAGAAAGGCTATTTACTAAGCCTCTACTATTTACGACAAATCACATACAATGTATAATTTAATCACTGCAATAATCTTATAGATATTACTTTCATTTACAGAGAACAAACTCGGGGAAGCTAAAAAAATTATAATTGTTCCCAAATGTAGTGGCAAAGTTAATAAGTGGCAAAACTAGGATTCAAACTAGGATAGTAAATTTCAAAATTTTCTATCTAGCCACAAAGCAGCTTTCTGAAGCAATAACAATAGGAGAAAACTCTGAAGTAAAAAACTGAGAATTCTGAAGTACATGTACAATTGAGTTCTGAAGATTTTACATATATTCTTAAAGAAAAAATTTTATGTATGGGGTAGTTTTTGCTTTTTGAAATCAAGTTATTTCAAAGATCAAATAAGCACTGTTCATTCTTCAATCTTCTACAGTACTTTTTTTCTCTCAGACACATTACATTTTATTTATTGTCTTTTACCATTAAAATGTAAACTACATCAGCACAAAAATTTTTATCTGTTATTCACCACTGCATGTCCAGTACTTGGAAGCATCCTTAGCACATAGTAAGTGCTCAATAAATATTTGTGGAATGAATAAAAGTCTGGCACATGGCACACAGTACGCATTCAATAAATATTAGTTTCTCTCTTTTTATTGTGCAGGATACCATTCCTTTGACACCAAATTCCGAAATGGAATTGATGATTAGAAATGTAATAAACTTTCTTACTAAACTTTTACATTAAAAATGAATGAGGCTCAATAAAAAAAAATGAATGAGGCAAGTAAAGTCACATTCAGCAAAGGCACATTTATCTAGTATCATTAGTAGATAAAGGGATCTATGTAAGTTAAAGTGTCAGCAAAGACATTTTAAGTGGCAAAACTTTTAACTAACAGTTCATTGATATTAACATCCATGAGTTTACTTTGTGGCAATTTTGACTTGGATCTTCTTCTGAAACATTAACTTGTCAGGTGATACTTCCACTGTGCTCACTCCACACACTCCTTTTCTATGGATTAGGAAATGAGAAACTAAGCAGATTCTGTAAAATGAATCAATAAAAATTCAAGCAAAAATCTAAGTGAAAAGCATAACTATAACATAGGAGACTTTTTTTCTTTTTTCACTAGAAAACTGAATAAATTTAGGTAAGGTACCATTTACTTATAAACAGGCTGTTTTGAGAGATGAAATATTTAGAAAACAAAAAAGTATCTTCCTTGCCAATCTGACACTTTAGTGATCAAGATTACAGTCAAGTTTACCGACTAACTAAAGAGAATGTAAAAAAGCACAGCTCCTAGTAATACTTAAGTTTTTTAGCTTTCTGAGCAAGCCGCATCCTTGATTTTTTAGGATAAGAACCAAAACATATAAAATGTTAAAACACAGTATTCTGGAAGTATAAGCCAGTGCCAAATAAGTATGAATAGACATACATTTAAATTCCATATAATTTCAATGTCTCCAAATTCTTACCATCTTAACAGATTTTTAAATAAGATGACATATATAGACTGTCAAGAGCCTATGAAAAGATTCAGAGAAAACTGCCTTAATACAGTTCAGCATAATCATTTTCCAGTGCTTGGCAGCCACCAGTACCCACATCTCCACATTCCTAGCTGCCTAAACTGTTCATCTAATCCTCTACAGCATCTTATCCCCATCCTTACTATGATTCTGTCCCAGTCTTCACACTTGCCTCTGTTATCATCTCTTAATCCTTCTATTTTAGAGAGTCTCAATCTTAGGACAAATAAGGATGACATAAGTGAAACAAAGGAAGAGTGCTACTACTGTTCTCTGGGTCATGGGAACCTGGCCAGGCAGAAATATAATGGAATTAAAACTCTTGTCAATTATAGTTTAGTTTATGAACTTTATATAGTGTAAAGATTATTAGGACCTTTTTTCCCCCCAAAATATCTATAATAAGGCAAAAATTACCTTCTAAGCTATGTTGAAGATCATTTAAAAAAAAAAAAGCCTTTTAGTCCTGACCTGTAACTAAAAAAAAGAAAAAAATGTAAAATAGCCTACATTGTATCTATTTTTCAAAATGCAGTAGGTTCACAGATACACATGTACATTTCATTCTAAACAATACTTTGTTAAAAAGAAATTTTCCTAACAAGGAAGTTACAGAAGGATCTGAGTGTAAGGTGTTACTAATACCAAAGAAGCAATCCTTAATCCTAACATAATTAGAGATCCAGATACTGCCTATATAACTATGCAGAGTTAAAAAACCTCCTCGTTTCAGTAGGTGTAATAATTGTACCCAATGCCCAAGTCTCAAAGTATCCTTAGCTGAAGTGAGGACCACTAAAGAAAGGACCAAATAAAGTCCCTATTTCAATCAAATGAGATTGATTTAAGTTAAAATTTATTTTTCAGAAAACATGTATCAGATGAGATAGTGATCATTTTAACCTCTTCTCAATGAGTCACAAACGCACAGGTTCTACTATGAGACTTAGGAGGATTTGAATGGCAGGATTTCATCACTGTCCTTTAAAGGCTACTATCAAACTCAAGAAAAGTTATTCTATGAAGCCAAGCGAGAAATGAAATACTGGAGTCTATTCGGTGGATAACTTATTCATCTAATTAACATATTCAACTTTCAGTTTGATTCTTCAAAGATTTAAAACTTAAGCACCCTCTATTAGAAACTGATTAGACTTATGAGGGAAAAACCCAAACAGAAGTTCTGAATCACTGGAATTTTTGTTCTATTTCCTGTTAACACACCGATAGTACCATCATTAAATATCTTCATTCCATATGTTTTTTTTTTTAAAAGCTATAGGATCCTTTTTAAACAGGGCCCTAACTTAGCCCAAAGTTCATTTATCTGACAATTCTTACCATTGTTTCTAATAAAAGTGCTCAACCAAAGCCATAAAATAACACGAATAGCTATGTCTTCCTTCATTTAGAAACTACAGCATTTATAAAGTTTCAAATTGTCAAGGTTTAAAACTGATTTCACTGTTACAAAGAATTTAAAAGTATTTTAGAAAAGGTGTTCATACTCTGCTACTGTACCAAAAGTGTAAAAACTGAAAGCAAAAATTCTATTCCATGCCCACCAAAATTCCTGGCCAAATCTGGAATTGCATGAGCATCATATTCTTTTTAAGTATGCTAAAGTAGAAACTAATTCCTTTTTTATAAAATGTGAAATCAACCGGCCCCCCAAATTTGACACTTTACAAACTTACCTAAAACAGACAAAAGTGATGCAAAATTATACTGCCATACAGTAGCTCCGCATACAATCTTAGTGTTCAAGAACTTTCCAATGAATAAAGGCACTCAACAGCTCTAGCACTGGGGACCTGAATTTCATGAACTACTAAGAAGACCCTGTGAAGCTGCAAACTCCCTCCACTCTCCTGAAACCCCTCTTATCACAAACATTTGAAGAATTTCTCCACAACAATTAAGCTGACTTGAAGAACGGAAACCTAACATCTCAAATATACTATATATGGAATGAAACACGGCCAAACACGTAAATACAAACTCACACGGGCTCTGACACTTTGGTGTACGACTGTGCCTGAACATCCCACAGCATCAGCAACAGAAAGATCCACCTGTCACCTGTTCGGCAAGGCTAAGAGACCCCTTCAGTCTTCCTGCCTCAACCACAATCGCAGGGTTTAAGGCTGATGGGACAGAAAACGAACATTATCCTGCGAAATCTAAGGGGCCACAAACTCATAGCCGGTCTTGCTCCCCACTTCAAAGACGGCTGCAGAAAACCAAGATCCAAAAGGGAACGATGTTCTCTCCCCGACCCCCACATAACTCCCCTGTCACTCCCCAACACCTCCGCTCCTAAGTCATCTTGATACAGACCTCAGCTCCCCAAAATAAGTTTTCCCTCCCCTACCCCCACCTCACACATGCCTGGCGGCGGGCTGGGGGCACCGGTGCCGGCAGGGGCCCTCCCCACCCCCGGCACCCTCCCCCACCCGGGGCTCTCCCGGCCGCTCGGCTCCAATGAATCGCCCCCTCCCCCTCCCCACCGGCGCCCCGGAGCCCAGGCCCAGCCCGATGCTCCCCACCCCCACCGGTCTGGAGGACTTGGGGGGCCTCCTCTCCGCCTCGCCACTGGGGGAGGGAAAAAGGCGGAGGGAGTAAGAAGCGGACGCCCCGCAAGGGCCTCGCGCGGCGGCGGAGCCCCTTCCAGACGAAGGGAGGGTGGGAAGCGGAGGGGAGAGCCGGGCCGGGGATCCCGCCGAGGCCCCGCAGCGCTGTCCGCTTACCCTTCG